ACTATAATTATCCGATTTACCTCCCCATATTTAAGATATAATGTCCATTAATTAATCGGTTCACTAATAATCAAGAATTAATTAATATATTATATTACCGAAGCTAGCGCTCGCTCATAGCATTCATATTATGCCGGAATAAATCCACCTGCAGGGTTTAGCATAATATTCCTTCATGAACTCACTTCGGGGACATCATCACACTAACGCACATGGTGACCGTAAATATCCTAATAGCACATCGAACACATAATTTTATTACCCAATTCATTAAGTATGTCGACCCGGCTTGGATCTCACCCAAAGAATCAAAGCAACAACAATTATGTGCACATGCCTAGTTAATATCTTATGGGTTAAGAGCACGCAATAATTAACCGAGGCCTAGTTCGTTTACGACGATTAGTATAAAACGAACATCCCTCTCTGGGATCTTGTTCAATACATAAATGTACTAGCGCAACTAATCGGTCAAGAAAAACCGTACGGTTGACACTACGACCGTTCCGATGGGTTGTTCAATTCCATCTAGGTTGTGAACCAATGATTCTTGTTTCACAAGTAACTGATATAGTGATCTTCGGTACGCCCGATGACGACCCACTTATCTACATGCAAAACAACAGAACATGGAACTTATTTAACCAAACATAATTCTCATTCATCAAGGAATAACAAGTGTAATATCCACTAAAGCAAGACTTAAGTATATAACACCACCATATATGTATTTGCGTCCCACGCTAATGTTGATGGAATGCAACATTCTTATCCAATAAGCATACATACTATGTGCAAGCCTTTTCCGGATTTATTCGATATCCCATCTCGAAACATCCAACGACTTGGAACTGTATTTAAGATCACAGCTTTCAAGATATGTTCCATGATCACCATCTCTATGCGCAACCATATCTTATAGCTATAAGTGATCTAGGGATTTTATCTTAAATGCAAATAGATAAATGCTTACTCTTAAAATAAAGTAATGCCTTATTATTTAATATAATTCTAATAGATTGTTTTTACAAGTAGAATACGTCCAATCTGATTAGAACGCCGGGTATACTACTCCAACAATCTCCCACTTTCCCTAGTTCCAATCACTCATGTATCTTAGACCCATCTTCTCAAGGTGTCCTTCAAACACTTTCTGTGATAAAGGCTTAGTTAAGGGATCAGCTATATTTTCTGCTGAGTCGACTCGCTCCATTACGACGTCTCCTCTACCAATGATTTCTCTAATCAAATGGTATCGTCTCATAATGTGTTTAGGTCTTTGATGAGATCTTGGTTCCTTTGCTTGCGCAATAGCCCCATTGTTATCACAATAAATCGTTATTGGATCAACAACAGATGGTACTACACCCAACCCTTGGATGAAGTTCCTTATCCAAACAGCTTCCTTTGCAGCATCAGATGCAGCAATATATTCAGCCTATGTTGTAGAGTCACCAATCGTTTCTTGTTTGGAACTTTTACAACTAACTGCTGCTCCATTCAGAGTGAATAAGTATCCAGACATGGATTTATAGTCGTCTTTATCAGACTGAAAACCAGAATCAATAAAGCCTTCTAGTTTCAATTCTCCATT